TATTATTATTATTATTATTATTATTATTATTATTATTATTATTATTATTATGGGGGGGTCATTTGTTCCAAGGCTGAACAAAAACACAATGGATGTTAGAAATCTTTCCAAGTTTGTTTCTGAACTCAGACTGAAGAACAAAGGTAGTTGATTGAAAGAGGTGAAGTTTGTTTCTGAGGGCACAATTGATTGAGTCTGAGGGAGCCATGGTGAACCCTCCCCCAGAAGCCCTTTACGGAAAGCCTTGTCTTTGTCTTTTGAAAGCACCCCTAAATGTGCCCACCTTCTAGGAATTCCAAGAAAGTGAACTTAGTTGGGTTTCCTCTGGAGTCAGGCACCCTGCTCTGTTGTGGTTTCTGCTTATTTAGCATCCAGATTGAAGCAGCAAGGATCTTTTGTTATTTAATTAAGAAACAGGATCCAATCTGGGTCTGTCACTGGGACCAGAGGTTTTGCTTTCGGACTCATGCTGTCCTCAAGGAACTTCTGTGTGCTTTGGGCTGTTCTGTGTATGGTATTTATATGGTGCCTGTTGTGTGTAGCTTTTCAGATGTAGACTGAGAAGTTGATGGCTGGCTATTAAGTTGTTGACTGTTGCTTCCTTGTGCTGCCAAGTCCTTGCCTCCTAAGTAAGCTGGGGGTAAATCAGCATTCCTGTTGATTGATGAGGGGCCAGTTTCCCAGGCTTCAATCATTTCCCTGACTGTTTTTGTGCCTGCTCATCCAACAATCTTAGTAGCTGCAAAATTGAATGTATGCCCTTGTCTCAGCCAGCCCTTGAGTACTGAAGATTTGTCTTTAAATGAATCCAAATTCCAGCTCCTCTTTAGAACAATGGTGTATTCAGTATAACAGCAAACAACAAATATTCTAATCAGGCAAGAATGGCTAAAAGTCAGGCAAGGTTAGCGTTGGGTTTGAGTTTGCTCTTTCCTTTTATTACCATTATCATGACACACATCCCACCACACCCAGGCCTATACACAGTTCTAGTTCTGGCCACGCCTAACCCATTATCCCTAAATGCTATTAACCCTATAACATGTCTACATCCCTAACATATTCCGACCCTCACTGATCCCCTCCTGGTGCCACCTTCACCATGTCTTAACTTAATGCTTAATTACCACCTATATGTACTCTAACCCCCTCTAACAATATGCACATCAATACATGACAAAAGCCATTTCCAACCCCACAGTTGCTTTAGAATCCATCCTGCAGTTGCTTTAGAAGCCATCCTGCAACCCCGCAGTTGTTTCAGAATCCATCCTTCAGCCCACAGTTGTTTCAGAATCCATCCTGCAGTTGCTTCAGAATCCATCCTGCAGCTCACAGCTCTGCTGAGTCATTCTAAAGCAACCTTCAACACCATCGGCTAGCACACAAGCAGCAATACAGATCCGGCGTCAGCAGAGCTAAGGTGATATTCTCCACTGCCAGCTGACTTGCTGCGAGGTGTGTTTGGAGCTGACAGGCTCCGTAACGAACTCGGAGCCCGACACCTAGCTTATTACAATCTGAGGCCACTCCCAGCTTATCAAGCACTTAGGAGGCAAGGGCTTGACAGCACAAGGAAACAACAGCAAACAACTTAATAGCCATCAACTCCCAATCTACATAGAAAAAGCTACATGCAACAGGCACCCTATAAATACCACACACAGAACAGTCCAAAGCCCACAGTGAAGTTCCCTGAGGATGGGCTCCGGCATGAGTCCGAAAGCACAGAAGACATTGGTCCCGGTGACCAACCCATATTGGATCCTGCAATGTTTTCCTGGCACATGCCTTCATTTGTTTAGTTGCAAGATCTCTGGCATCTGGAAAAGATGTTCATCTGAATAGGCTGGTACTTCTGCCATGTTACTCTGTATTTGAGTCCATTGCAGTATCTTTTCTCCTGTACAAGGAAACAACAGCCAACAACTTAAAAGGTAGTTTTTAACCATTTGTCCTTATAAATGGTGGGAAGACTAGGTGGTGGCAGGACGTAATTTCCTTCCCATAGATCCTTTCCCATTATAGACGACTCCAGGAGCAAATTGCAAACTCGGTATTTTGCGTATTTCTTTTCCCAAGGTCTCTTTCCAACATGCAAAATAGAGCTAGCCATCAAATGCCTTATTGAAATTCTCATTAAGATAGCATTAGGAGGAACAGAAAAGATAGAACAAAGAAATTAGGAAACCACAAGCAATTTTCTCAATAAGTAGAAATAAATTGGGCTGTGCATCTGGTTTGCTGTGTAGAGAAAGCTGCTTTTAACTTGTTTCTATCCCTTAGGTTCTTAAAAAACATTGAGAGATTTTACTGTAAAAACTGTCTAGAAGCAATCTGTAATTATTGGGTCAGTGAACTGTTACAGCCATTAATAGTAAATATTGCTAGGTCAGCCAGAACCTGCTCCAAAGATGATAAAGGACTTTCCTTTAAAGCTCTTAAAAGTATACATCTATAGGTTTGGGAATGTAAGCAACTATGTAGAGTTACTTAATACATTCTTTAAGATTTTGCACTTTAAATATTTGACAGACTCAGAAGAGAATAAACCTATTCTCAGCAAGAGTCCAAACGAGAGGAAGGTCCATTAGAGATGTCTTACCTGATTATCTGGGAAGAGTTTAATCCTGTTAAACCTGATGAGATAGACAGGATCCTCAATGCTGTCAGTGTAACTACAGGAAATCCTCAACTTATGATCAAAATTAAGCCCAAAATGAGGATGAAGGTTCATTCTTCAAGCTTGTGGGTTGGTTTCCCAAGCGTTTCGTTACCAGGCTAGGTAACATCTTCAGCAGAGTTTAGGGGATGTCAGTGTTCTTCTGTTTACAAGGGCTTCAGGTGTGGGTCTGTCTTGTGATGGGTCAGCTGTGAGTCATCAGTAAGTCTTGTGATGGATCTTGTGATAAGATTATACATAACTGACCCAACACAACATTTGACAAACCCACACCTGAAGCCCTTATAAACCGAGCACTGACATCTCCTCAACTCGTTGAAGATGTTACCTAGCCTGGTAATTAACTGTTTGGAAACATTTGTCTTACTTTATCACTGAAAGTTTTTCTTTACCATGAAATAAAGTTATTTATGCACTTCAAATAACTCCTATGAGAGCCAATCACAGGTGTTAAATGTGCACCGATTTCCAGCAGTAATATTCATTCATAAATATAGTACAGTAAAATTGTTTTCAGTAGGCCTACCTACTATGAGAAAAAGTTTGAAAGAATTCATTATTATTTTCCTTCCTCCCTGTCCACTGCCTACAATGTGGTTTAAATGTACTATATACTAGTTTTTTTGAAGTGTTTTTTTTAAAATGTAATATGTATGCAGATGCTGGGGAGAGAGTTATCAGTGTGTTATAAAATATGTAATAAATATTATTGACTTAGAAGAGTCAGAAGAATTTCAGAAAACCTTATTGCCTTAAATAGAAAGTTCAGAAGAGTTATACTATCAGTTTATACATTGATAGAGTAGCTGTGTTTACATAATGCATTACTCCAGATTTATTGAACTCATTGATTTTGGTTCACACAACATACCAGACATAAATTAACCATAGAGTGGGCTAATACATGTTTCAGTTATGTATCCAGTTACACTCTAATTGCCAAATTAAAAAGGCCAAAAACATTTAAAAGGTACTATGCAAATAAGTTTAATACAAAAATACATAAGCACTGCTGAACAGAAAATATAGATTCTTGCTATTACAAACAATACTCTTGACATTTATCGCACAAGTAACTTTTAAATAGATTATTTTACTTCCACTAAAAAGGTAATTACCACAGCTATCTCTTTACATATCTGCATCACTACTTCTAAAACAGAAAGTTAAGTTTGTGTGGTAGATTTTTCTCTATTCTGAACAATTGAGAGTACAGAATTATGGAACAACATAATTCATCTCAAAACAGCCTGGAATCAAAACTCAACTGTTTGCAGTTCATTAAAAACATCTATATCTATGGATATAGCCTTGATCAGGTGGCTATGTGGTAAAATACATATCTTCCTCTTCATCAGACTGCATTTCTTGTTCCACTTCAAAGAGATTCCTCACTCCAGCAGAAGTTGCTGCATCTATGGCAAGGTAAGAAAAAAACCCAGGGATGGTAGTATCCAAAATGGTCCCATATAATATCATCCTCAGATACAATCTTATAGCCAACATGAAAAGCTTAACAGATTTTGGAGATAAATTTTATACTGCATGAAAACCCACTGCAAACCAAGTTAAAAAGAAACCATATGCATAGATATTCATAATCTCAGGAGTCAGGACTGATTAATTTACCTTTTAACAGTTATACAGAAATGACTTTAATGTCCACAAAAGCAGATTACCTCTGTAATTGGTGTGGGGCAATCAAGCATTCATAATTATGGATCTCAATTTCTGAATATCTGCATTTAAAATTGAGATTTCCCACCCTGGGAAATATACTTGGGGAAAATAAAATTGGGTGCCTAAATCTGGAACTAATTCTTAACTCTGCAGTCACTAAACCCCATGAGCTACTTTGTCTGCTGGCTTCATGTTAAGGTTTGCAAATGAATGGTGCAGAAGAAAATACTTTCAAAATTACAAATCCTGAAACATGCCATGTTCATTACTACATGCTGCACTATCACTCATATATGCAACAGATGGCTTCCTTTGTAGACTACTATTTCTAGCCCTTCGTTTGACACAGGTAGTCCTCAGCTTACAAAAGTTTCATGATTGTTCAAAGTTACGATGGCACCGAAAAAAGTGACTTATAACCAGTGCCATGTTCCCATGATCACATGATTAAAATTCTGACACTTGGAAACCGATTTGTTTATGACCATGTGATCACCTTTTCATAAACAAAGTCAATGGGGAAGCCTAGACTCACTTAACAACTGTGTTACTAACTTAACAACTATAGTGATTTATTTAAGAACTGTGGCAAGAAAGATCGTAAAGTAGGACAAAATTCACTTAGCAACAGAAACTTTGAGCTCAATGGAGGTCATAAGGCGAGGACTACCTTTACTACCCTCATATTCATATCGTGCACAGAAATTTCTTTGAAACCTCACAGGAAGAATCGCACTAGCACTTAGACTTATATACTGCTTCACGGTGCTTTTACAGCCCTCTAAGCAGTTTACAGAATCAACATATTGCCCCCAGTAATCTGGGTCCTCATTTTACTGACCTCAGAAGAATGGAAGGCTGAGTCAACCTTGAGCCTGGTGAGATTCGATCTGCCAAATTGTAGGCAGCCAGCAAGAAGTAGCCTGCAGTACTGCATTCTAACCACTGCACCACCATGGCTCTACTGTATATAAGACCAAGAACTTCCTTTTCTTCATTTGGCAATGATAATGAGAAAGTTCTTGTGAGTATCCAACCCATAGGTCTCTAGCCTTTTTGGATTGTCAGAGCCATTTTGAATGTTGACAACAAATAGGATGCTTGCCTATTAATATATCTGTATTAATGAAATACTGTTTATTTTGCAATCTGCAGTTTTCCAACTTTGTTACATTATTTAAAATTCTTTTTCTTCTTTCTTTTAAGAACTCGGCACCGTGATAGCCATACAGATAGAACTCAGCTAATGACCAGAATTGGGACCTGTATGTCCATTGCTAAGCAAGGAGTGAACCACAATCAATTTCAACCTTTTTTGTCATGGTTGTTAAGTGAATCACAGCAGACGTTACATGAATCCTGTGGTGGTTGAATGAACCTGGCTTTTCCCCATTGATTTTGCTTGCCAGAAGCTGCCCGAGAAGGTCACATGACCCATGATGCTGCAATTGTGATATCGGTTGGCAAGCACTCAGATTTTGAATATGTGACCCTGGGGATGCTGTGATAGTTGTAAGTGCAAGGACCAGTTGTAAATCACTTTTCTCCATGCTATTATAATGTTGAAGTCACTAAACAAATAACTCTAAATCAAGGACCAACTGCATTGATGGTCCCCATACTGGGGACTCCAAAGTCTAATCCTAAATCCTGCCAACATTGTATAAAGCAGTGGTCGCCAACCGGTGGGCCGTGAGAAAATGTTGGTGGGCCACAGAGAAATGTCACCCCCAGAGCACTCCCCAAAGCAATTAATCCAGGCTGTGCAGAAACACAAGGCTGTGCCGCCCACATGGCCCGCGATAACCCTCCCTGCCCACTCATTCCTTACTCGGCAAACTTGCCTGCTAAATTGCTATTTTTTCTTTTTCCGACCATCAGCTGTTCTGCTGTGCTTGGAGATTTAGATCAGCTAGAAAGCAGGAAATTGTTGGATTTCTTGCTTTCTAGCTAGTCTTTAGATCTTCGGCTCTGCTTTTAAGCACAGCCGAATTTCCCTTAGGACTGAAGGTTCTCTTGTTCAGTGCAGACTCATGGCAAGCAAATTTTATGTGACAGACTGAGCTAGCTGATGGTAGATAGATCACTGAATGATTCTGTGAGCAACTCAGTCTGCCTGCCTGCTTTGTCTGATTTTGGGTAAAAGATGCTGTTTTTTTAATCAAAAAAATCAATATTTACATACATGGTGCATTGTAAGTTAATTTTGTGAGCTTGCTTGCTAACAAATTTGATGAATTTGCTTGCAAGCAAATTTTATGTGACAGACTGAGCTAGCCGATGGCAGATAGATCTCTGAATGAATCTGTGATTCTGTGAGCAACTCAATCTGCCTGCCTGCTTTGCCTGATTGAGTAAAAGCTGCTCTTTTTTATTAAAAAATTCAATATTTATATAAATATTTGTAATATTTACATGCAAGCCATGCCCAGCAAGTCACATGACCGCCAAGCCACACCCACAAATTAGGTCACTCCCACAGGACGGGTTAGTGATCCCTGGGATTTCAAATTATGAGTTTGGTGGTCCTTGAGATCCAAAAGGTTGGCGACCCCTGGTATAAAGCAAACGAAACAGGCCTACCTTCAAAATTAAAGACATTTGTTCTTCGAGATATGGGAGTAGTGAACACTGTCGTAGCCTGATGGAAACAAAAGATACATAGAACTTGTAGAAAAGCTTCATGACAAACAAACAAGCCAGCAAAGAACACTAGACTGCAGTTGTGATAAAGCCACAGAATGCACATTTTATGCTCCAGCTTTCCTGGATTGCTATGCTCCTAGCTACTATATGCGGGAAGGCAGAAGTGGGATTCTCCCGGTTTAACAACTGGTGATCGTGCACTTTGGGCGCGGCCAATTTCCGCGTGCCTGCACCTGACACGAACGCACACTACTCCAGTAACTCAGCTGAGAAGTGGCAATCCACTGTGCCGTGCTAATCAGCTGAGAAGATAAAGGCAGATAAAGTGCAGGGCCGGGTGGGCAGGCCCACATGAAAGTCGCAGCGAACCAGTTCCCTGCCAGTGATTTTCAGAGGAAGGGGTTCGGCCGAAACAGTATAATTACACCCCTGCAGACAGAAGAAAGAGATGCTAAAGTTTCTAGATTAGGTTAGTCAGTAGGTAACCAGCTGAGAATTATTTTTTCAAGGCTGTGATTAGAAAATAACAGCTTGTTACTGGAAAATGGCTTTACGAATTTTCAATTCAACACACCTCAGAACCACAAAGGTCCTGCGTGGGAGGTTAATTAAGAAACTTAATTGGCTCTTGGTCCTGACTGCCTCATGGCTCTTAATTTTTTTTCGGGTTCCCTTTCCCATTTTTAGCTGTTAATAAAGCTGTTTGCTTCTGAAGTGGATTTGACAACTATTTTTATTTATTCAGAAAAAAATATGCATTGTTACTGAGAAAATAACTGGGTCCCATGAATAGCTTTAGCTCCCCTCAAAGAGATAAGGAAAATGCATGGAATTATTTTTTTAAAAGATGCAGGAATCTAATTGTCTTCATATGTGATAAATGAAGGAAAGGCATTACCGGTTTCTTCTTTATATCCAGCCATGTGCCTTTGATATTATTTTGCATACGGAAGACATGTTTTTCACAGATTTTCCTAAAATAAAATTAAAAAATTTAATGGCAAATCGGTGTATGTGAATGTGTCTCACTTACTTACTTACTCCCAAGAAGCAAGGTCTAATTTGCTTATTGTCAGGCTGTAGTAGCACTAGCTGCTTATTCTTACCACCCTCCTAAGAATCTGTTCCCAATTATCCTTCTTTTTGGTATTTGTCTTCCTGCATGTGCCCACCCATCACAAAACAGCATATTCCACAATGCTCAAATGTCCACATAATCCAACCTCCCTGTTGCTTGACTCAGTCCTATCTTTATTGTTGGAACAGTGTATTTACTATTTATGTGTGAATTTTACACACTTGTCAGCAATGATCTCAGTGAACCTAGGATGAGTTCTGCTCATAAAAAGGCAGTTACTTTTACCATTCAAAATAATGAATAGAATCTATCCAGAGTACCTACCTATCCAGAGGTTCCAGCATGCCAGGGCTGATATGGTCACATTGGGGTGTCTTCAACCAGGGGAAAATAGCTGAAGCAGGTGTAATAGGATGCCTGTCTTTCAACTGGAAAACATCTTCCTCTGGGGCCAGGCAGAACTGAGGCAACTACAGATCATATCTTGGTTATCCCCAGAAAGAGAAGGTGTTTGCTGTAAGTTTACTATATTATTCCCATCCAAGAGCATCTTTCTCATGTTACCTGCATTCCATTTCATTTCCCCCACCCCATTAGAAGATGAGGCATGTATTATAAATTATCTGTAATTAAAGTGATAGAATTTTTAATTATTTAGATGAAAATTAACATAGTTTCAATACATGAGGTGGGCCTTACCAACGGGAAGAATTATTTTGGTAGGGTAATGATTGTAAAGCTGTTAAGAGTTTCAAGGTTGTGAAGATTTTTAAGGGGAAAAGGCCCAGAAGCAGATAGAAAGTTGAATAAAGGATAAGCAAATGGAAAAGGCAGATGCCTAATCTAATAAGTCTACCCTAGTAAAGTAAAAATCTTATTTTTTAAAACTTAAACCCTAAGCTTTTAAACAAATCTCTTAAAGGGCCAAAAGTTTGATGCTACAGATGGACTGAATTCCAGAGAATGGCTCATGTATACATAACACTTAGAAAAGCAGAGTAAGGTAATGGGGTGAGTATAATTTTTCTGTACTTTCTTTCTTTTGTACTTTCTTCTACTAATTACCCGTAACTAACAGTGTATTTGCAACTCTCTGCAATGGTTAGAATCCCAGTGGATACCAGAAATGTTAGGGAATGTCTGTTGTAGGGATATATACATTTGGGACTAATCTGAAGATCTAGACATAAGCCATGATTCTATAAATTTATTCCTGAAGACCAGCACAAAATCAAGAATGAATTTATTTCCCACCATCTGAGTCCAGGAAAAAGAAAACAGCTTTCCATCTTGTTTTGAACATTTCTAGCATCCTGTCTGATTGAACCCTGATAGAAATATTCTAATATAAACAACAGATGTGATATTTACTTTTATGTTCCTATTTTGGAAAGGTGTGGAAGCAAAGATATCATCGTGGTTATCCTTGGGCATCTGTTCGAGGAAGTTCCGCATCTGTTGTTTCCTTTTCAGGGTTCCCACCCTTGCCAACGGCTGTTGGGTCCCCTTATCTACCAGCAAGAATGATACAAACTAACATGGAAATTCTTTTTTTTTTTTTTGCAAGAGAATGGAAATTGTAGACAAAGGTTAAAAGCCAATTAAAAAAAAGTGCTATTTTCATTAACCTGAACTTTTAGATTGGATACCCTGTGTTTAAACAACACCATATACACACAGCTTCATCAACCCATTTTAAAGACAGAATTAGTTTGTACTTAGCCACCTTTTCCTACAAGTGAACAATAATACACATAAGCATCCTATAATTACCCAAGCATCTCTTTCCAAAATTCTGAAAATTTCTCCCGATATTCTCAGGTACAGATTCAAAAAAACAGCTTTTATTCATCTTAAAACAGAAAAGTGCTTGCCTAATTTTGCAAAATTCAAATGCACCCCTAAACAAATAAGAAAAACGCTGTGCTTTTGCTGAAAGTCTACCCAGGCTCCCACCCTTCCATGCTCCCAGAACGGGCATCTTGACACATGTCTGGCTTTGCATGGAAGAACACAGGGAAGACATCAGGACTTGAACCTTTTCCTTCCTTTTTTCCAGGCTTGGAGGTCTTCTTTGGTCTGCGTTTCTTCCGTTCCTGCTCTGCCATGTATTTTTCCTGGCATTCTTCAGCAGATCGTGTTCTCACAGTCCTTGCCACATCCATCCAGAAACCACTTTTGTATTTAGGAAAAGATGCTATTGCCCTATAAAAAAATACGAAGGATTTGGAGAAGCACGTTACGTTATGACTTTGGTGCAGATGGTATTAAAGTTAGACATTATACAGAATCTAAAAGGGGAGGTAGAAGAGAGAAGAAGAAAAGATCAGGAATTTGCAAAAAAAAAAAAAGTTGGGTGTTTGTCGGAGGAAAATCATTCGCAGGATTGGGTAGGGGATTAGAAAAATAAAGCTTACAAATAATTTTGTTGATTAATATGGAATCAGATTTTGTTATCGTACTTGCCTGTACAACTTTTCCAATTCTTCTTCAGTCCAGTTTTCATTAGTGTCTGGAAGAGACCCCACCCCTAACTTGGCTTTTGGACTAGTTGAAATGTGACCATTAATTCTCTTGGTAGGTATTTTTATCTTACTTTCTTCCACAAGAAATTCCTCTAGGATGTTACCACTTTCGGTCTCTGATGCAAGAGCATTCTTTCTGGCTCTCTTGAACCACTTCTGTGACTTTTGTCTATTCTTCTTCTCTAGATCACAACTGGTATCCAAGTCAGGAGAAGAACTCTTGCTACTTAATTTTTCTAGAGTGACCTCCTGTCCAAAGTAAGAACATTTTGTCTTTCGGCTCTGAGAAGATGCTACACAATTCTCTGCACTTTTCTGCTCACATGATGGTCCTTGGATATTATTACACTCCTTGTTGAATGTTGCTCTTTTGAAAGAAGGCCGTATTTTCCTTTTAATATATGGGATATCTTCACTAGATGCATCTTCATCTGTGCAAGGAATATTTTCTACAACTTCATCAATTTGTTGAAGTTGTTTTGACAAACTTAATGGGCAGTTCAAAGTGTCTAATTCACCATCAGCCAAGTTTTTTTCATAGCAAGTGATATCTCCACACTCCTTCGTCACATTTTGCTCATTTCTGGTGGAGTGCTGCTTTTCTTGCATTGTTTTCTTTCTCAGAGGTGTCAGCATAACAGTGGCTCTCTTCTTGTAAATATCTTTAATGATTAATTCAGAGTTATTTTCTTCAGTGTCTGAAATAACATGTTGTGACTGTTGCTTCAATTTACATTTGGTTTTCTTGGTTATATTATTAGATTTCATATTAATTTTTCCTAGGTAAAAATTAGTTTTGGAAATAAAAATTAGCTTAGGTTCTAAATCAATCAAATTATAATTTGTTAATAGAATTAATTTCTTCTTCACCTTTCTATTCTACAGGTATTCAAGGCAGCTGACAGAATTTAAACAGCAAACACAAAAAATACAATTTTAAAAATAAAATACAAAATACAAAATCTTGCACTAAAATTAACTATTAGAAGCATAACAAAAGATGTATCTTTTAATAATACTACAAGAGAGAGCAAAAATCAGTTCCAAGGGAATGTGTTCCTTACTATTGGAACATGAGAAAATCCTCTTACATGCCAGAAAGTGGGGAAGGGCATTAAACAGAGGGGGCGTTTTCAAAACAACCACTTCTGTAGTACTGAAAACAGGACCCAGACAGATTTGTAAAATGAGGGCAACCACTTTCTTTAAGCCCCAACAATTCAAAATGTGCAATCACTGCATATCTTTTCAATACAGGTAAATGATCCCTGTATCTTTCATTGGTTAGCAGACAAATCACCCTATTTAATATCATCTGCACCTTCCAGACAAGCCCAGCCTAGAGAGTATTTTGTATAATTATAATATCATGATCACCAAGGTGTAGAAAACTAGTGAAATTTATGTATGGAAACCCTTCTCATCACAACCATGTCCAGTAAGTGCTCAGGATCACAGAGCATGCCCAGACTCTGAACTATGCCGCTTCAAGGCAGTGCAACTCTATCCAAAATGACAATTTCAATCCCTGAGTCCACTTTCCTACTTACCAACAGCACCATTGCTTTGTCTTGATTTAATGTCAGTGGTCCTTCTTTTCAAATCCAGCAGTTATCTGGCCTGGATCATTTTAACTACATTGGCTGGGGGGGGGGGGGACTTGCACCAATCAATCAGGAGATAATCTGTCCTAACATGTAGGGCTTTTCACTTTTGGATCACCAAATCTATCCAAACAGATCATCAAATCCAGTGTGTGCACAAATTGATATATGGAGTGAAATATTTGTTAGGATAGACCATGATGATCAGAGGAGATGACTTTTTAGATAATTTTGAACTGAGCTCTCCCAACAATGTAATCTCCAATACAAGGAGAAAAGTTAATTTAATGCCACACCAAGATTAGTGTAGCCAGTTTGGGAAGACAGAAGACAAAGGATAAACCATATCCCTGCATAGCTCTGGCCATCCAAATGCAATAGCTTGCACTTAAAACTATGAAGAATTGACATATCAATTCCCTTACAACATTACTGTCCTTCTGAAATAGAATAGATCTGCAATTTGGGCCACTGATACTGTAAAGGTGAGCTAAACATTCTATAGAGCTGGGAATCTATGTTCTACTGGTTGTTAATAATGGTTATCATCTCCCATCATTATTCATATTAACTGGGGCTTCTGGGTATTAAGAATTCAGCTGTCAGAGTTCCGATGATTGCCCTAATTCAATCATGAGCCTCAAGCCAAGCTTCAAAAGAATCCAAAAGATTTATTAGGAGCAACATATCTGCCACTAACCTGTATGAAGCCAACTTTGAGACACGTAATTTACTATCGCCTATGACTCTGTCCCCGCCATGTGTCATCAATCAGATTCTCAAAGGAACTGGAAGCTGTGTGTCATCAATCACACACTCCAATGCAGGATTTTTGTGGGCAGAAGATCCAATAGCCTAGGCTACAATCTCCCTAAGATAAGCGTGGAATGTGCTTCTGGCCTTCACCTACCACACTGCTCCCTCAGGCCTTTCCACCCCCTCCTTCTTATGGCAACTCAGAAACTCGCAAATAGGAATGATTTACAAGTTGACATCAGCATTATCAGAACAACTACAGAATTACTCATCTCATCTTAGAAATTTTCCTATCGATCATCTTCTTACAGCTTTTTTGATATAGTTTGGATCTCAGTTTTAATATTATGCTTAATGTTTTTATGTTTACTTTTTATGGCCAATGGATCTCAATGGAAGGTGATACAAAAACAGGATGGTAATTTTGTGTGTAAAATGGCGTGTTAAATGTGGTTGGCAGGCATTTGGCAAATTAAGTATAATTTTCAAGAACAACCATCCCCTATGACTGAAGAGAAAAAGTTTTTGATCAGTTTTATGACCAATGCTGTGTCCCAAGGTCATGTGATCACCTTTGCAACCTTTTTATAAGCAAAGTCAATGGGGAAGCCAGATTCACGTAACAACTATGTTACGATGCTAGCTTATCAACTGTGGTGATTCACTTAACAATTGTGGCAAGAAAGGCGGTAAAATGGGGCAAAAATCACTTAACAACAGAAGTCTTGGGCTCAATTGTAAGTCAAGGACTGCCTGTCCATGGCTGGAACTGGCAAAGACACTAGTGACCAGAAATTGAGCAGGAACAAGATAAACATATTATGACACAAAACCCCAAACCTACATAGTTGTATCAGACATCAAGTTGCAAGTACAGTACTTTGTAACTACCTTGCCAAAATAAATGCTCTCCAGAGAAACTGATGGATTACATTATTACTGTCCCTAAGCATAATTTTCAAGAAAGACTTCCTCCTATGCCTGAAAGGTTTTTGATCAGTGTGTGCTACCTGCCCCTAACATATGCCACTGAAACATGGACACTAACCTCACAATGGATACAAAATCTATGAGTGGTGCAAAGAGCCACAGAAAGATACATGCTCGGCATCACAAAACAAGATAGAAAGACCTGCACATGGATTACAGAACAAAGGAAAATATACAATATCATCAAGAGAATAAAAGAATTGAAACGGAAATGGGCTGATCACATAGCAAGAAGAACTGATGGCAGGTGGACCAAGGCAGTCATAGAATGGATCCCACTTGATAAAAAGCATCCACAAGAGACCTAAAACAAGAGACTGACAACATCAGCAAGTATTGCGGGCCCAACTGACAAAGAAAAGCTCAAGATCGTATTGGTTGGAAACATGTAGAAGTGGCCTTCATCCTGCAGTGACTAGAATGAATAACTGTTTTACTTTACATTAATTTAACTGCCTAATTTTTATTGATATGATAATTGTGG